TGTTGTCCTTTACATCGTGTGTAAATTTCATGATGAATGGACTAAAAGAAATGACCCAAAATGACTTGGAAATAAGTCTGGTTCCATTGACTTACATTAAAAGTAAAGTATGTTTTTTCCTTCTCCTGTAAAGTTACCATTTTGGAGATACAATGTTTTCTTCCAACAACAGCGACATATAGATATAGTGCTGTATAAAGCATTATATAAAGTGCTATTATAGTGAAATGGACGTTTCTAGTGGCAACAACAGCTCAGCCATGAAGCAGTAGATGACACAAACTCACGACAGAGGTCAAAACTGTCTCTTGAAGCAACATCATCACAAGAACTGTGCATCAGGACAGGAGAAATTTCCACAAGTTTCCACAGCCGAGCAGCTTCACACAAGCCTAAGATCACTATGTGCAATGCCAAGCGTTGGCTGGAGGGGTGTAAAGCGCCGCCACTGGACTCTGGAGCAGTGGAAACGTGTTCTCTGGAGTGATGAATCACACTTCACTATCTGGCAGTCTGATGATGAATCTGGGTTTGGTGGATGTCAGGAGAACATTACCTACCAGAATGCACAGAGCCAACAGTAAAGTTTGGTGGAGGAGGGATAATGAGTGGGGGCTGTTTTTCAGACCCCTCAGTTCTAGTGAAGGCTGATGTTGATGCTGCAGCACAAAGACATTTATATTATCTGCTTCCAGCTTTGTGTCAGCAGTTTGGGGAAGAGCCTTTCCTGTTCAAGCATGACTGAGCAGCTCCATAAAGACATGGAGTGACCAGTTTGTTGTGGAAGAACTTGACTGGTTCTCACAGAGTCCTGACCTCAACCCCATCAAACATCATAATATATACACACAGTATAATACACACACACACACACACACACACACACACACACATATATATATATGTGTGTATGTATGTGTGTGTGTGTATTATACTGTGTGTATATATTATTACCATTATTGCTCGTTATTCAATTCTTCTTTTCATAGCTGAATTTTTGGTGTTTGTTTAAAGAAATAAATTATTAATTTGAAAAGTTCATGTCCAAGAATCAAATTGAATAGAATAGAATTGAATTGAAAAGAATCGAAGAACAGAAAATGATGAAGGTGCATAAAGAGTGAATCAAAACCCATAACTGTCATCCTGGTTAAGGGAGGACACGGTGACAGACGCAGCTGGTGTGCAACATGAGGCCAGCTTTGGCAGGTGACGTCACTGCTTGGCTCCAATCACAACGTCATGAGATTCATTTCTGTTTTTTGTTGCTGTTTTTAATCACAGATTTTCTGCTGCCTGAAATTTAAAGTCAGCATGAATCACAAGACTCAGGTTTGTCAACGTGTGAATGCAGATCTCCTACAAAAATGACCGTACAAATTCTCCCAATCTGGCAACCCGCTCGTATTGAAACGCTTCAGTGCTGAATGTTTGCGACTCTGGCGGACAAATTAGGCGGCGAGGATTCCCGGAGTGACATACTGAAAATGATTTTTTTTATTTCGTCATTACATTCAATCATATAAACATGTTCAGCAAAAACAAAAAACAAAATAAAGAGATAAATAAATAAACAGGGAAAATCCGCTCGATAAGAATAAAATGTCGAACATTTAAGAAATCGATATCGGTGGTCAGAGCACAGACAATAACTCGGAACAAATCACGGAACCGACCGAAATGCTTTATCTACACCAAACATCCTACAGAACAGCATAGAACAGAGTCAGAGATCAGAAATGAGAAATCCCCCCAAATCCTCCACCCGTCGGCACATGCAGTCCGAGTGCTGCTCTCTCTCTCTCTCTCTCTCTCTTTCTTTTTTAAAGATGAGTTTTTCTTTTATTCTCCTTCTTATTGTAAAAAATCTTCTTCTTCTTCTTTTTCTCCTTCTTTTCTTTTTTTTTTCTCTAAAGAGAAACTCCCAGCAGCTGAGCAGCCCGTTTGGCCTTCTCTCTCTCTCTCTCTCTCTCTCTCTCTCTCTCTCTCTCTCTTTCACACACACACACACACACACACTTTCTCTCTCCTTGCTCTCTCTCTCTCTCTCTCTCTCTCTTTTATTCTCTCTCTCTCCTTGCTCTCTCTCTTATTCTCTCTCTCCCTCTCTCTCTCTTACTCTTTTATTCTTTCTCTCTCCCTTTCTCTCTCTCTTAGTCTTTTATTCTCTCTCTCTCTCTCTCTCTCTCTCTCTCTCTCTCTCTCTCCTTCTCTTTCTCTTACTCTTTCTTATTCTCTCTCTCATACTCTCTCTCTTTCTTACTGTCTCTCTCTTACTCTTTTAATTATCTCTCTCCCTCTTTTACTCTTTCTTATTCTCTCTATCCCTCTCTCTCTCATTCTCTCTCTCTATCATTCTCTCTCTCTTTTACTCTTTCTCTCTCTCTATCAGTCTCTCTCTCTCTCTCTCTCTCTCTCTCTCTCTCTCTCTCAACCCAAACGCTACAGAATGCGCGCGCTGCAAACGATCAAATAAAAGTTTCAGTCGAAATAAATAAATAAGTAAATAAATAAATAAATAATGTGCCTTAAATAAACAGGAGAAATTTACAAAGCATTACGTTCAGGTTTTTTCCTCTTTCCCTAAATTGCACGCGACTCAAGTCTCTGATATTTATTTTGTTTGTTTTGTTTTGTTTTGTTTTGTTCTGACTGGCATTGCTTGAGGAGATCCGCATCCTGAGACTCCGTGGTGCCGCTGGGGGGTCAGTTAAAGTGAAAGTTCGACGAAAAATCACATTCACAGAATTTGCCCCTTCTCTCAAATGTAAACCCCCGGAGACGAGCTCGCCGTCTGGAGCTCGCTTCTTTAGCTTTAGCACCAGAGCTAAGAGGCTAACGTAGCTAAACCAAGCTTATGGGAACTCAACTGACAGCAGCCTTGAACTTGGGTTCTAAAAACCACCCATTAAAGCGATAGTTTATAGAAATATTAGGCAGAATTATGGAGGAACTTCCAGCTCTAAGGTGGCTGTGTTTAATGCACCTGTTTGTAAATGTACCAAAAAACGGAAACATTAGTTTTCCATGATTTTTCCATGACATGGGCCCTTTAAGTGGCCCTAATCTCGAATATAGTCTTCAAAAAGTCAGTTCCTTAAGGGTTCTTTAGTAAAGACAGTGGTTCTATTTAGAACTATGAGGTCTACATAGAACCATTTCTTCAGAGTGATGAAGAATGTGTTGTATTTGGTTCTCTATAGCTCCAAAAAAGGTTCTTCTATTGTTTCAAGCTAAATGTCATTACAACAACAATAGCAGAACCCTTTCGGTGCTATCTAGAACCGTTTTCAAAAAGATTCTCCATCAATCTGAAGAACCATTTCACCATGCAAAGAACCATTTAAGCATGCAAATGGATCTATACACAAATCATGGTTCTAAATAGAACCATTCCCTTTACTTAAGAACCCTTATAGAAGCATTTCTGCAGATTGGTGAAGAATGTGTTGTATGTGGTTCTCTATAGCTCCAAAAAGGGTTCTTCTATTGTTAACATCATTATAATAATAATAACAGAAGCCTTTTGGTGCTATCTAGAACCATTTTCAAAATGTTCTCTATAAAGTCATATACAACAGGTTCTCCATCAATCTGTAGAACTGTTTCACCATGCAAAGAACCGTTTAAACATGCAAATCGTTCAATACAGAGCTCAAGGTTCTAAATAGAACCATTCCCTTTACTTAAGAACCCTTATAGAACCATTAGGTCTACTTAAAGGGCCCATATCATGGAAAACAACATTTTTCTCACCACTTTGAAATAAAAGAGCTCATCATATCACTTTTCCAGTCCTTACAGTCCATAAATGGAAACTAGCTGAAAAAAACAGGCTGTTTTGAATTCATTGTTTCTGTGATGTCACAAAAACCAACAAATTTAGCCTCCATATATTCACCTATTCAGCTTACAGAAGTTCAGCTCTGCCCACTCACCAAAAAGGAAGTTATAAGGAGTGTTTCAGCTTGGACTGCTTTCTGAATGAGGCAGCCAATCAGAACAGAGTTCATGTACATAAGCCAGTCTTAAAGGGCCAATATCCTACATTTTCCTTGTTTTATTTTCCCCCCTGAGGGCCTCTTAAAACATTTGATTTCCACTCTTTATCACATTTTTGTTACTGTGCCTGAAACACTCCTCATCAGCCTGAATGGGCGGGGCTAAACTGCTATAAACTAAACAGGTGAATACATGTAAGTGAGCTGGTTCTTGTGACTTCACAGAAGCTCTTTCCACATATGAACTGTAGGGACTGTTTACTGTGGTTTTCCATGATATGGGCCCTTTAAAGGCGCAGGAACGCAGCCTGTTTAATGCTAAGGGGTAAAGTGAGGTTGGAAATGGTCTTGTCAAGATAAAGTATGACTGTTTCAGGTAATAAATAAATAAATAATAAATAAATAAAACAATAAAATATAAGAAACATATAAGATACAGTTTGAAGCAAGAGTGCAAGGACTGAGCTGCTAAAAGCCTCGTAGCTCTAGTGCTAAAACTACTGAAGCAGCCTTCAGACACCAACCTCAGCTGAGTGACTATCACTCTTAAAAAGGATGGTTCTTCAAGGGTTCTTTAGTAAATGGTTCTATGTAGAACCATGAACACTCAAAGAATCTTTTGCCTGCTTAAATGGCTATTTGCATGGTAAAACGATAGTTCAGATTGATGGAGAATGTGTTTCATACGGTTCTATGTAGAACCTTTTTTAAAAAAAAAGGTTCTATATAGCACCAAAAAGGGTTCTCCTACAAGCTTGACATCATAACAATAGCAGATCCCTTCTTGGTGCTATATAGAACCAAAAGAGAGTGTTCACTGTATAGAATCGTCGTCTTTACTAAAGAACCAGTGAAGAACCGTCTTATTGTAAGAAGGTACATTTGAAGTGAAAAGAAAAAAAAGTGCAATTTTGAATTTTCGCTGAACCGTCCCTTTAAGAAGGGCCAGGTGATGGAGGAGAGGTGGAGGCGGGGAGAAGGAGCGATCGGACGGGCCTATTAGGTGAAGCTCATGGACACCGTGTGCTCGAGTGCTTTGCGGCGCAGCGACGCGATGCTCGTGCCCCTCCACATGTCACTGTCCGGCGAGCTGCAGAGCTGCGGGGAGCCGCTGGCCGCCACCGCTGCCGCGGCCGCCGCGCTGGTCGGTCCGGAGAGCGAGGCGGGCACCATGCCGGGGAAGGCGGGCTGGTACAGGTGCGACTGCAGGCTCGAGCCGTTGGACGACATGTTGGACAGGCCCATGGAGTTGGGCGGCGGGCCCGCGCCCAGGCTGCACGGGGACAGCGACTGCGCCATGGCCTGCTGACGCCCGAGCGCGGGGGGCAGCTGCAGCTGGGACACGCTCGGCATGCCCGCCGCCGCCCAGCGCGTGTCGTTGGCGTGGAAGGAGCACAGGCCGTCGCCCATGGCGGCTCCGGGAAACTGGGGCAGGCCGTGGTGCGTGGGCAGCAGCGTGCCGGGCGCGCGGAACACGTTCGTCGTCTTCTTGCGCTTCTTCCACTTCGCGCGACGGTTCTGGAACCACACCTGGACAGAACAGAGGACATCAGACTCAGAACATAGAGCAACACTGAGCACAGAACGGAGGACACAGAACAGAGAATAAAGAACAGAGAACATAAAATACTGAGAAGAGAACACAGAACACTGCACAGAGAAAACTGAGCAGAGAACACAGAACACAGAATAGAGAACAGAGAACACTGAGCAGAGAACGCAGAACACAGAATAGAGAACAGAGAACACTGAGCAGAGAACGCAGAACAGAGAACAGGGAACACTGAACACTGAAGAGAGAACACAGCAGAGAGCAGAGCTGCCTTAGACTTGTACACTGATCTAACCGTGTGAACTCCGGGCTGATTAATCGATCACTGATCTGAGGCTGATATTTACTAGTTCAGTTATTTATTGATTTCTGTATCGGGTGCATTGATCAGGAGGAGGAGGGGTGATCAGGCGGTGAGCTGATGCGCACAGATGGTTTTTAAATTTTAATTCTGAACTGATTTTTTTCCTGAACTTTTTTTTTTTTGACGATTATTAATCTCTTTTACACATCTGACACCTATTTATTTATTTATTTATTTATTTATTTGTTCATTTAAAAGATCGTTTTAATACTTTAGAGGGAAAGGGGCGGGGCTATAGGAGGCCTAAAATGCCCTTATGTGTCTGGCCTCTATCTGACGTATTGATTTATCTATAGGAGGCCTAAAATGCCCTTATGTGTCTGGCCTCTATCTGACGTATTGATTTATCTACTTATTATTTATTGATGTATTTATTTATTTATTTATTTGAGTGTTTTAATTTTAATGTATGAAGGAGGAGCAGATAATTAATGAAAATGATAACATCTATATATATATATATATATATATTCATATTCAGCAGAGTAGAGGACAAGCACGGTGTTCACTTCTGTACTATTATTATTATTAGCTTTCAGCTGCGTTATTATTATTAGTAGTAGTAGTATTAGTATTGTTATTATTATTAGTAGTAGTATTAGTATTGTTGTTATTATTATTAGTGGTAGTATTAGTATTGTTGTTATTATTATTAGTAGTAGTATTAGTATTGTTGTTATTATTATTCTCACTCTTTTGAATCTGTGAACACTGTTATGACTGATTCATCTACAGGATTATGAATGGTCTGATGAATGATATTCCATTTATTTATTTATTTAATTATTTATTATTTATTTATTATTTATATTTTATTCTATTTGTTATGAATACATAGATGGACATGCGCGTGACATCCAATTGTATTATTATTGCTCTTAATGATCGGATCTCGAGTCTGGACACTGAGGACTCCAGAAATAAATGAATTTGATATATTTTTCCTCCTTCAGTTGAATTTAAAGCCGCGTTCAGTAAACACGGTATGATCTGCGCTGTCTGTGATGATATTACAGCTCGATTAGGTGACGATCAAAGAGCGCGGCTATAGATCGGATCGTACGTGCAAAAGTTTGAGCACCCCGGCCAAATTACGGGTTTTTTTGTTTGTTTGTTTGTTTTGCAAAATTTAGTGCACAATCTTAGATTTATTTGCTGAAATTAACATATAGGGAAAAAACAAACAAAAACAAAAAAACAACAAAAAAAAAAAAAAATATATATATATATATATATATATATATATATATATATATATATAATGCACATGCTTTTCTGATTTTTATTTTTAAACATGTATTTATTTATTATTATTTTTTTTTACATTCAGCAAATAAACAATAATTGCAGATAAAACCAAAGGTGCCAAAACTTTCTCACACGATCTGTTCTGGAATGGACGATTAGCCGACTCTAGTGCAAAGATTGTTCACTCATTTGAGATTATTATTATTATTAGTATTATCATTATTATCGTTATTATCGTTATTATTGATGTTATTAGTTTGTATGCGGTCCAGAGTAAAGCTAGGAGCCGAGCTGTCAGAGGCGATGAGTGCGGAAGACGCTCTTCTCGGTGCCGTTACAGTTTTTTTAAACAAACATCAGAACCTCACACTGATACACAGACACAGATCGAGCTAGCGCGCTCGTGCAGCGCTTTTACCATTTAAAGCTAAATCATCTCGTTTCACGTCAGCGCGAGCTCCTCGCGCGCCTTCCGCATAGCTTATTCACCGGGAACGTCGTGCCTTCCACACCGTGAGGCGCGAGGAGAGAGATCTGGGCTGCAAATGGCACGCGGGGTGGTGGTGGTGTGCGGTCGGGGGGGAGGTGTTTATTTCCCGAGGTTTATAGAGACCTCGTGGCCGCAGCCGAGCGCGCGATGATTAACGAGCCCATTTCGGGGTCCAGCAAAGAGAGAGAGAGAGAGAGAGAGAGGGAGAGAGGGAGAGAGGGAGAGAGAGGGGTGTCATATTATAGGAGCCCCCCACGCAACCAGCCGTGAAATCCGGCCTCGCGCGCACTGCACTTGAGAGGAACAAAGAAAATGCAATTTCTCATACTATTAAAGAAGAAAAAAGACAGAGCACGCTCTCGGAGCGCGCGCCATTAAGACGTGGAGCCTGACAGGCTTATTCTAGAGGTGGGGGTGGTGGGGGGATTGGAGGTGGGGGTCAGGAGTTGGGGGTTATGGTGATGGTGATGGTGGTCATCACACCACTGATCGAGTTTTAATGTAAATAAAACAGCGGCGCGAGCGCCGGTGATAATTATGGAGGTCATTATTTTCACGCGCTGAACGAAACTTAATAAGCCCGCGCGGATATAAGCAATGCCGAAATCGGCGCGTAATAACGCCGTTGGCTTTTACGGCGGCGCCGCGCCCAAGAAGGGCGTGCGTGTTTGATGAGCTCGAGGCTGCTGGAATGCGAGCTGGACACTCATCAGCCGTCATTTCACTTTCCTTCTGCATTAAAATGTCATTTGGCGCATATAAAAAAAGCGCAATTTGCGCCGCTATTAAGACACGAAAATTGCGGTTGAGAATGAATGGGGATAAAAGTGACCCTCGGTCTGGGGGCTGGAGGGGTCGCGCGGCAAAAGAGCTTGAGGGGCTCTACCTGTCAGGACAAATTCATAACATATACAAAATTCGCAAACTAACGATTTCTATACTAACAAAACCGCTAAAATCGACACTCTTAAAAAAGACGGTTCTACACGGGTTCTTTAGCAAAGGCGATGGTTTTATATAGAAACAAGAACGCTCAAAGAACCATTAGCATGCTTAAAGAGTTCTTTGCATGGTGAAATGGTTCTTCAGATTGACGGAGAATGTGTTGTATGTGGTTCTATATAGCACCAAAAAGGGTTCTTCTATTGTTACAACACTCTAAAGTAAAGGGAATGGTTCCATCTAGAGCCATGAATTCTAAATAGAACCATTTGCATGTTTAAACAGTTCTTTGTATTGTAAAATGGTTCTTCAGCTTGATGGAGACTGTGCTGTATATAGCTCTATATAGCACCAAAGTGGATTCTTCTATTGATACAACACCTCTAAAGTAAAGGGAATGGTTCTATCTAGAACCACGACTCCCTCATGGAACTATTTGCATGCTGAACTGGTTCTTTGCATGGTGAAATCGTTCTTCGGATTGATGGAGAGTGGGCTGAGTATGGTTCTAAAAAGAGCCTTTTTGGAAAAAGGGTTCTTTTATTGTAACAAGCTAGGCATCGTAACAATAGCAGAACCATTTTTGGTGCTTTACAGAACCCACTTTCTCCATGAATCTTGCATGTTTCACCATGCAAAGAACCATTTTAAGCATGCAAATGGTTCTATACCGAATTCACGGTTCTAAATAGAACCACTGCTTTTACTAAAGAACCCTTGAAGAATCGTTCTTTTTAAGAGCATTGTTATGTATTGTTGTATGTAGTAACAATAGCAGAACCCTTTTGTTGATTTATAGAACCCACATTCTCCATCAGTTTGAAGAACCGTTTCACCATACAAATAAGCCACTGTCTACTGAAGAACCCTTGAAGAACCATTTTTTTAAGGGTCTAGGCTGTAATAACGGTTTTGGTAATTTAGCGGTCATTTGGCTTGTGAAGCTGCGCGCGATAAGAGATGCTATGAATGAATATATGAGCCGATTTGATCCGAGTAAGCAAATAAATATTAAAATAACAAGTAAATTAATCTGATTGGATGATGAACAGCGTTTCGATCTAACGCGGATCTGTGTGTTTATGCTGTGATCGCTTTAGGCACGCGCCTCTTTCACTCGCGCGCAATGCAACAGAATTATAAAAATGACCCAACGGGGCTGCTGGACTTACACTCCAGCACATTCATAGCGCTGCATTCGAGTAACTGGTTTACGTAAAATGGAAAGCGTGCAGTTCGCTCACTGAAAACTGAGAATTTGCATTGCAGTGAAACTGAAATCAATTGCAGTGAAATGTTCGAGTCGGAACGGAAATGTGCGGCATAACTGAATTAAGTTCACGCAAACGAGTTATCATTATTGTCATTTTTGAGCTCAGCGCTGCACTAATAACTATGGCTGCGTTTGATGTTGGTTTTGTTTATTTGTTTACTGCTTCCTTTTATTTTGAGCGCGCCGAATTGCGCTGTCATTTTATTACATCTTTTAAGTCGCTAAATCCCTCAAGTAATGATTGCACGACAACAAGCCTTCAATACATATATATATATATATATATATATATATATATATATATATGTGCAATGATTATTTGAGGGATTTAGCGAATTTGATTTACCTAATAATAATACTAATACTAATACTAATAATACTAATAATAATAGGACTACTTCAAAAGCTTTTATGCCTTCGAGGACCCATATGTGGATCTCCATTTTCATTGCCTTAACGCTCAGATTAGATTCAAATGATTATTATTCGCTAAATTGAAATTCTTTATTTTTTTACGTGTTTTTTTTTTGCGAATTAGCATAACTTACAACTGGCGGGTGGATCAGCGCGCGTTAATAATTTAAAGAATGGAGAAATATGATCTGAAACATTTGCCTTGCGCTTCGATCGCGGAGTGAGATGTAAGATGTTAATTTGCATAACAAAAAAGAAAGAAAAAATTTCAAATACGATCAAATTCAAGAATTTAGATTTAGCAAATAATACGTATCGTTATTGATATTACTATGACCATTATTAAAATAACTATTTCAGGACTATTTCAGAAGTTTTTATGCCTTCGATGACACGTATGTGCATCTCCACTTTCATCGCTATAACGCTCAGATTAGTTTCAAATGATTATTATTCGCCAAATTTAAATTCTTGAATTTTTAACGTGTTTGCGAATGTATGCGAATTAGCGTAACTTACAACTCGCGGTTGGATCAGTGCGTTAGTTTCATACTGGAGGACGTGTAGCGAAAAGTACAGGGGTAGTGAACCTTAATAATCTGATGAATGTAGAAATATGAGCTGAAACATTTGCCTCGCGACTTCACTGCAGAGCTGTAGATTTTGCTAATTCGCAAAAAAATCGCAAACACGGTAGAAATTAAAGAACTTAAATTTAGCCAATGTTAATAATTACTGTTATTATTATTATTGTACTACAAATAATAAAACGATTTGAGACGCTTGCCTGGAAGGACCCGTATGTGGGTTTCCCCTGTCATCGCAATAAGGCTCGGGTTAGTTTCACACTGCATAATAATAATAATAATAATATTAATAATAATAATAATAATGCAGCGAAAGTAGCGAATGTAGTGAATCTCAACCAGCCTACACAGCCGCTCACCTGCACGCGGGACTCCGTGAGGCCGATGCGCAGCGCGAGCTCCTCGCGCATGAAGATGTCCGGGTAGTGCGTCTTGGCGAAGCTGCGCTCGAGCTCGTTGAGCTGCGCCGGGGTGAAGCGCGTGCGGTGGCGTTTCTGTTTCTGGGGGTTCTGCTGGCTGGGGTTCTGCTGCTGCTGCTGTTGCTGTTGGTGCTGCTGATGCTGCTGCTGCTGCTTGTCCTGCTCCTTCCCGTTCACCGGCACTCCCGCGGCGTTCGAGCCTACCACGCCGATGTCGTCTCCCGGGAGCAGCGTGGCGCCTTCCACCGCGTCCGAGCCCGGCGCCAGCTCTCCGGGGTGTCCGGCGGGGTCAGCTCCTCCGGCGAGCCTACACTTCAGCGCCTCCCTGTGTCCGAGCAGCTCGGCCGCGGCGGCATCTTTCATCCCTGAGGAAGAAACGCAAAGACGCACGCGCTCGGCTCAGACTTCGGGACACAGCTGCGTTTGTATTTTTGACGGTTAGAAGCAGAATTTTTTTTTGTACATTTTGCTTGTTTGTTGTTTTAGGCACAGAAAAGCATGCGCGCGCAAATGCATCCAAAAGAAAACATGCAGAAATGAAAGAGGTGTTTGCTCTTCTGATCAACAACAAACAAAATCAAATCAGAACAAAATCAAATTACTCTATAATATAATAATAATGATTACTCTTCTCAATGAATTAAATCACTCCGATTGCATCAAGCCCGAAACGAGAAGGTTAAAAAAAGAAAAGCAGCAGCGCTCGCGCGACTCAATAAGAATAACAGTAAGAATAAGAATAAGAGTCCTCCAGCTTACAGTAGAGTTGTAGACCGGGGTTGGCCGGTAACTCACCGAGGCGAGCGTCCAGCAGATCGGCGTGCGAAAGCATCGCGCACCGCTCCAGGGGCCGAACAGGCTCGGGCCAAAAAAAAGCCCACCAAGCACCCCTCTACGACTTATGAAAAAAGAGGAGGAGGGAGGGATGAAAAAAGGAAAAACAAGATATAGATGGCCTAAATGAAAGCAAATTCGGTTTGTGGTTTTAAAGAGGAGGGTCCCTTGCATTATAATGGCCTTTAGAGGAACTGGGAGGCGCTTAATAGTTGAATGAACCCGTGAGCTTCTTCAAATAAGAGCCAATCAGCGTTGAAGGCCGGACACGGTCAGCGGGGCCCAGGCAGCCACTCACCAAAGGAGCCTTCACCAGTTCATCCGGGGTGTTTTTTTTTCTTTTTTTTATATCACTCCAAACTTCAGAAAAGGTTTAAAACACACTCGTCTAATTGAGCGTGATTGTAGCAGCACGCGCAGGTGAACAGCTCGCGCGTTTGTGGTCGTGAGCGTTAGTAGAGATCAACGGATGGACATTCCAGCATGTAATATTAGTATAATGATGATGATGATGATGAGGAGGATGAACAGAGCAGGACTCTTCCTCCTGTTGTAGTGTCCACTCCAGTGTCCAGCGGCATCGTGTCCAGCGCCTTTTCAGCCAAAGAGAACCTCCTCTTCCTCCAAGTCTTCGGCCACAACATATCCGGACCGGGGAAGTCATTTTCGAGCTCATTAGGCTCTTATGTAATTAGAGACCCCCCTCTTTCACCAACACACCACACCCCCCACACACCACACCACACACACACCCCAAAAAATAATCTATACGCTTTTTATCGCGATTATTAAGCAGATCAGGATGAATTAGGGCTGTTTAGAGACTCGGCCGGCACAGCGAGGAAGAGGTGCGTGGGGGGGGTCTTATTGTAAATGATAGGAGAGCAAATGAAGTGCGTAATTCGGGAGGGGTGCCGGGGTAGGGAGGGTTAGTGGAAGGGCTTCTGTGCACGACACGCACGAGCCAAACTGCCCCAAAACTGGACCTTCGACGAACGACCCTCGGAGGGTCTAAAAGAGGAACTGTAAGAGAGGCAGAGAGAGAGAGAGTGAGTGTGAAAGAGAGAGGGAGAGAGAGAGAGAGAGAGAGAGTGTGAGAGAGAGAGTGAGTGTGAGAGAGAGAGGGGGAGAGAGAGAGAGAGAGAGTGTGAGAGAGAGAGTGTGAGAGAGTGTGTGTGTGAGAGAGAGAGAGTGAGTGTGAGAGAGAGAGGGAGAGAGAGAGTGAGTGTGAGAGAGAGAGAAGGAGTGTGAAAGAGAGAGAGGGAGAGAAAGAGAGAGAGAGTGTGTGTGTGAGAGAAAGTGTGAGAGAGTGAGTGTGAGAGAGAGAGGGAGAGAGAGAGAGTGAGTGTGAGAGAGAGAGGGAGAGAGAGAGTGAGTGTGAGAGAGAGAGAGGGAGAGAGAGAGAGTGTGTGAGAGAGAGTGAGTGAGAGAGTGAGTGTGTGTGTGAGAGAGAGAGAGAGAGAGAGAGAGAGAGTGAGTGTGAGAGAGGGAGAGAGAGAGAGAGAGAGAGTGAGTGAGAGAGTAAGTGTGAGAGAGAGGGGGAGAGAGAGAGAGAGAGTGAGTGAGAGTGAGAGAGAGTGAGTGTGAGAGAGACAGGGAGAGAGAGAGAGAGAGAGAGGGGGAGAGAGAGAGAGAGAGAGAGAGAGAGAGAGAGAGAGAGAGAGAGGGAGATGTGTTTGACTCTTCTTTTAACTAAACCGTTTTTTTTCAATGGGGGTCAATGGAGCCTTTTGAGGGGCGCACAAAGGAGGCGACCGAGTGAGAAAAGGGGGGCTTTTTTGGGAGGGGGGTCAGACGTGGGCGCGGTTTGGTGCTGAGGAGCGCGCGACCGAAGAGCTCTCCTGTTTTCGGAGCACTCACTTCACTCTAAAGTACATACGTCACCCATCCGGGTTTCAGCAGCACACCACATCGCGTGCGTTGTAAGGACTCAAAGAATATTAACTATTATTATTATTATTTTTATTATTATTATTATTATTATTAGGAAAAAGGGGGCTCGCTTGGGGTTAAACGCGGCGCAAATGCGCGCGATACCTTGAGAGCCCCCTCCCGACCTCTCTCTCTCGTGCGCGCGCAGAGGCAGCCTGAACAGTTTTTTGCAATAACCATGATGCTACATGATCGCGCTCGCCGCGCTCCTTGATTGATGGCGCACGCGCACTCTCGCGCACCCGGTTTTCCGGGCTTTGTCGACGGGAGCGCTGCGGTTTAAGCTTTTAAGCGAATCTCTTCCACAGAGACATCAAAGCTATAAACCGCCGCGCGCGCCGTTTCTTCTTTCTCTTTTCTTTCTATTTATTTATTTTTAAATCTCCGTCTCTTCGCTGCGCGCGGTGAGGATCTTCTGCGGCGGAACAAGTGATTTTTTTCCTCCCTAATAAATGGGTTTTAGAGCGGAGGCGCGCGCGGCCCCGGCTGGAAACGCACTGGCTGCCTTTAATGCAGTTCATTCATTCATTCACTTATTCACTCATTCATTCATTCATCCATTCACTCTGTCTGTTTATCTTCGTGCGAAACTGTACAGAATTGAATTTCCGCGCGCCGGTGGAGCTGCGCGCGCCCGGGATTAGCTGCAAAACACGCGGAGCGCGAAACAAAAGAAAGGAGAAAACACAAAAAAAAAACAACAAAAACATTTTATTAGAGGCGTTTTGGGGGGGGAATGCGCGAGCTTTCAAAATAACGTGAGAGGAATCTGCTCGCGCGGAGAAACAAGACGCGCGCGAGAGGACAAACAGCTCAGTAACATTAACACGTCATACAACATAAACGACCACAGCAAAAATAGAAATACCATTTTTAATTTAATAAAAACAAAATTTAATAAAACAAAAAATACATTTCAATCTTTCATTTCTAAATTTCATTTAAAATTCTAAATGGATTTTTACACGATATATTTCACTCGGAGAAGTTCGGAGGCGAGAATATTCTATAATTTTAGGAAATATTTTATAAATAAATAGATAAATAAATAGTATTCCATAAAAGTCTAGTAATGAAGTCAAAAGCAGCACTAACTTTTTCACACATTTTCCAAAAATCAATACTGAATTTCCTAAAGCAACATTTATTGATTAGCTGATTTTTGAGCTCCGCTGTTTCTGAATCAGTTTTTTGGCTTGAATTATTATAATTAAAATTACAGTTATTTTTAAATGAAATCGCTGTTGTTTCGCTTGTTTTTGTTAGGTAAGAAATGTTTGATTGAGATGAGACTGACAGACTGACAGGCTGACAGAGTGACAGCGCGTCCGTTTATCTCTGGTATGAATTTATAAGCGATCAAATTAAAAAATGAAGAAATAAACGTAAAATGTTTTTTTCTGAAATAAAACGTGAACAACTTTTAATGATGCAGAGTAAAAATGAGCTAACATACAATAACATACAATAATAACAACAGTGTTTCTCATATATATATATATATATATATATATATATATATATATATATATATATATATATGAGGAACACTGTTGTTATTATTGTATGTTATTGTTAATAACAGTGTAACGAAGCTTTGACTCTTCTGTAGTTTTTTTAAAAAAAAAGAGTTCTGCGTGAGGCACATTCCCGCGCGCGCTCCTGAGGTTCGCGTAATTGCGGCTGGATCAAAGGCAGAGCTGAGTCACATCTTTTGTGGAGCGGCGCGCGCTGCGCTAACAAGCCCGCATCAATCTTTAGGGCACCTATAAATAAAAATAGACAAACAAACAAATCCGCGCGCCGCAAGTTAATGCAGCGCATCTGGGCGGAAAGTAGACATTTTCACGCGCCCTCGAGATGAAGAGTGACTTTTAATAACATCACACAGAGGAAAAACAACAACAACACAACTGCAGTTCGGAGCTCAGAGAACACCCCCCCCCCCAAACAATGCCCCCTCTGGTGCGTGGTGGGGGGAGTTAGACTGATCTGGGACCCTCTGGCACACACGCAGGCACGCACGCGCGCGCACACACGATGCGGCCTGCATTCCCTCAATTAGAGGTTTTCTGAAGAGAGAGAGAGAGAGAAAGAGAGAGACGGGATCGATCGGCCGTCCGCGAGCAACGCCCGTTTAAACAAAAACCCACGCGCGCGGCGGTGACAGTGGCGGGGCTGAGGATTTGTGTGGGCACGTGCGCGCTTTTGTGCGTGGGTGGGTGGTTGGTAATGGTAGGGTGCCGTCCGTCCATCCGTCCGCTCTGCGCGTGTCCAGCTGCGGCCGCATCCCGCGCGCCAATTACGGCGCTGCTGCCCTCGGCGCGGACTCGATTAGCGCCCGTGCTTTATCCGAAAGAAATATAATTACGCTCCCAAATAAAATAATCAGCAGTGAGGAGCGATTTCCTTAACGAGATGGAGCGGCCCGGTGTCACGGAGCGCGCGGCGCCTCATTAGCGCCGTAATGAGAGTTTTGGGGGTGAAGCCGATAATTAGCGGGAATGTGCGGAGCGCGGAGGCCCGAACCCGCAGCACTCACTCCGGAGCCGCGAGCCGCACAGCCCGCCGAGGAGACGAAGGGGAATGCCACCCATTCTCCAAAATTCCCTCATTCAGAGTGGTTTGGTGTGAAATGGCTCAGATGTCTTTACAGTGGTGGTGATAGGAACCAGGGGTCGCCATGACTACAACACAAATATAGACATTTTATTTACTATCCAGAACCACCAGTGAACCTACACGAGTCTTCTGAGTTTATATGGAATGTTGATGATGGAAAATAGTGGAAAATCTGAAAAAAAAAAAAAACATTCAAGGCCAGAACTCGGTGGACTTCCCCTTTAAGCGCACAAATGAACGTGCCATAATACACGAATGTACGTAGATTAAAAAGAAAAGGCTATAGGCTTCAGCGCAGAGGTCCGTTTTAAAGCTGTGAATGTAAATGTGTCTCAAATTTGCAGCGTTTTTCAGTCACCGAGCTTTAAAAAAGGGAAAATCCGTCCATTTTTCCAAAATTTCCCTACATTTAAGATATAAAATCATTCAGAGTGGTTTGGTGTG